GCCAAAAAAAAAAAAAAAAAAAAAAACAGAGCAAATATTGCAGGCAACTGCTTGACTAAAGAATACCCTGTAACTAGATTTGTATATGTCCCGAAAATAATATCGTTTAGATCAACATATTCTCACTATACGCCCTAGCCTTCCAGGCATTTATGCTTAGTTTATGTCAGCAGCTGCTCGGCTAGTCTATACCCTGTAATTATATTCAGCTTTAGCTATATCACATTTAGTAATTAAGTTTATGGAAATTCTCTTACTTTTACCTTAGAGAGACATTTATTGCTTTTGCCTATAGCAATCAGTGCTCGACTAGCAAATACCCTTCACTTAGCTTGTTTTACAGGGTATGCGCAAAGCACTTTGCGACTGTGCGTGTGAGAGTGCGTGTGTGTGTGTGTGTGTGTGTGTGTAGGCTGCAAAAAATAGTCAAAAGAAAATGCTGCGCCAGTGCGACGCCGCTGTCGACGTCTGCTGCAGCAGCGACGGCAGCAGCGACAGCGCCAGCGGCTGAGGTTCTGCGTCATGTGAGTCAGCAACGCATTTGGCAACACCAAGGCGAATTTATAGTTGGCTAAAACGAATGACCAACAAGACAAGACAAAACACACACTGAGAGAGAGCGCGAGCGACAGTGAGTGAGCGGGTGGCAGAGGGAGAGCGACGTACAGTGGGGCCACGTGTTGTTGGCAGCCAGAGCAATGTTTATTAGAAGTTGAAATGCCTGTCGCTGCCTTTTGACTGTAATTAGCACATTGTGCGAAGATTCATCTCTTGCTTGTTGCTTGTTGCAGCAGCACGAGCAGAGAGTGGGAGATGGCGGGGGGCGAGGTAGACATATGCCACACATGCTACCAAAACTGTCGCCAAGGGCCAAAAGCAAACCAAAAAAAAAAAAAAAAAAAAAACAGAAGCGAATAGAAAAGAAAAAGAATGAAAGATATTTCCACATGAGAACCTTGTTGTAGCTAAGAAGAGGAAAAAAAATGGAAAAAAAATGAATTATAAATAATGAAAGCTTTAAGTCAGTTGGCAAATTGAAAACTTGGTCTAAATAGCATTAAGTTCAAGCTTGAATAGTTCAATAGGAACTCTATAAGCTCTAAAGTCCTGGGAGTGAGCTCAGCGAAGGTAATCGCAACAGCAAGAGGGAGACAGAGAGAGAGAGAGATAGAGAGGGAGAGGGAGATAAGAAAAGAGAGAGACAGACAGTTAGACAGCTGGAATCATTAAAAATTCAATAAATTTTCGCATTTTACTTTGTGCTGCTACTTCTGCTGCACTTTCATGTTGTTGTTGCTCTTATCCTTCTTCTTCTTGCTGTTGCTTGTCTGTGTGTCAATGCACTGCCAAACAACAGCAACAACAACAACAACAACAACAAATTATTTCTAGACATTTCGTCTTAAATTCAAATTAAAAATAAAAAATATATATAGAAGATATAAGCATAAATTTATATATATATATATATATATATATATATATTTATATATGTATGTATATATTATATATATTTTTCTATAAATATGTGTGTGTGTGCCGAATGCATTTGTTGTTGTTGTTGTTAATGTTAAGTGCCGCCCACGCTGCGCACCAACACAATAAAAAGAATAATAATAATTTTGTTATTTTGTTTTTGTTTTGCGCAAATTTCAACATTCTTTTTTTTATGTTTTGCTGTTGCACGCTTCGGCTGTCAAAAACTTGTGCATCGATGAATGAATTTGGCGCAAATAATAAATAGTCTGGAACAGCAACAGCAACAAAAAGAAGTGGCCCAAAAACAACAAAAATGTTTGCGCCCATTAATCAAATGTCTAGACAAATTGCAACAACAATTGCACACACACACAGTAAACAAATACTGATGAGCTGTTTCTTGCGGCGGAAATAAGGGGCGGAACGGCAGCAACAGCAACAGGAAGAACAACAGTTAATCAAAGCAGCCCATTATGCCTGGCAACATTAGCAGTGAGCAGCGGAAGTGGCAGCAGCAACATTGCTGCGCCAGTCAGAGAACAGCGAATCTATTTTTAGGCAACAATTTCAGCGCGCCTGTTGCTAAGCTCGTGTTGCGAACAGCAGAGGGCAGCCTAAGCTTGCAAACAATGTTGCTGGCTGGAACAGTCACAGTCACACAGAATGTTGCTAAGGCGTGGCAACAATTGTTGCTAAGCTCGAGCCGGACTGCAGAGGCAAACGGTCAAAGCTTATTGCTAAGGCAACATAACTTGTTGCTATGCAATGCTGCTAAACGATGTTGATAATGTTTGACATTGTTGCTGTTGTTGACTTCCTGGCGTGGCAACATCTTGGGGCTGCGCTGGGCCAGCACATGATCGATCTATATGCCTATGCATATATAAAATATGTGTATGCATATAATTTATTTACAATTTTTGCGCTGAATTGGCAGGCGAGAAGAAATGTGAAATCAAGCGCAAAAATTGCCGAGCGCCAATTAACGTAAATTTCAATTATATTGTCGGCGCGGGCCCAAAAATAAATGAAATTTTCAAATTGCGCAAGGAATGACAACAAGAAAACTGACTAAAATGGGCATGAATATACATACATACATACAATATATAAATATGTATATATAGTTTGTTGCCAATACACATGACATATGGCTGGCTTCAAGTGCAGCCTGAGCTTGGCAACATATTTAGCTGAATGCTGCTGACTTTTGTTGCTCAACAATGTTTGGACTCGAGCTGAAAACCAAAGTCAACTTGTTTTGAGCTACAATTTGGCATACATACATATACATATATATATGTATGTGTGTGTTTGTCTGTGTTTTTTGTCTTCTATGATTATTTTTCTATTGTTTGGCTATTTTTTTTTTTTTTTTTTTTTTTTGTATTTTGCTTGCGTTTCAATTTTATGTTTCTTTATTTTCGCACGCAAATAAAGCTGGCGCCAAATGAAAAATAAAACAAACAACTACAACTACAACAACAGCAACGGCAGAGAGTAGAAACAGCAGCAGAAGCAGAGAATTATAATAAGGCCGCGCACACTTGATAAACGTCGCGCGTCGTTAGCGCCACTTATCACGTATACGCCATGTCGGGCAATGCCGCCTCAGCTTGTTTTCAATTTGTTGCTGATGATGTTGTTGTTGTTGTTGTTGTTGTTGCTGTTCGATTACTCTACTACTCTGATTGTTCTCACATACCCTGCCCGGGCGTAACGACTGGGCATATTAGCTGGTATCAATTGTAAAAACAGCCATAAAGAAAGCTAAATTTCAGCTAACTATCTTTAATGCCAGCTGTCCCATATATCAGCTACAGTTTTAAAGTCACAATTCTAAATACTTACAGTTTGCAAGTCGCTCTCTGAGAAACCTCTGTGGACGTCTACACAGATTAGATTCACAGCTTCAGCTTCACGCATACATATGAATGTGTAGTGACTTATAGGGTATCCCTATAGTCGTTGCGCTTCCTGTGAGCTTGGGGTGGGCGTTTAGACACACCCGCCGTGCCTTTAACTAGTTATTGTATTTAGCTAATTAGGTGTTTGTCATTGCCTCTGATTCAAGACCAAATCGTTGTTCGATGTGATAAGCTGACATAGAAAAAAAAAACAAAGTTAAGAATGAGACAGAGAGAGAGAGAGGCAGCTAGAGCGTTTACTCAACACTAATACCCTCTAAGCTTATAATATATATTAGGGCAACAGCAGCAGTCCAAAAACCATTATCATATAATATTTTTATTGCTCTACTCTACTCTACTCGTATATACATCTCAAAAATACCCTGTAAAAAGCACAAAGCGCACACATTTCAATACAAGCTAAAATGATCCAGCATCAATTGAATTCCAGTTGCTTGGCAGAGTCTAGGGTATTTACAGTGCAGCATTCTAGGATATTTTTCCTCCAGCTTTTATCACATTTGTTATTCTTACTCAATAGAATTGTGGCTTATCTAGGGTATCTGGCATTCGTATACTTACATTTGCATTTGCTTGATTTTTTAATGTATTTTTTTTGTTTTTTTTTTTTTTTTGGTTTTTTTTTTTTTTTTTTTTTGCTATTTTTATGGGTTGTTCGGCGGCATCGTTCGATGTGTGGCGCCAAAGAGTTTAAAGTTTTAGCATTTGTAATTTAGCCTTTTTTCCCCATGCTTATTTATTTATCGGCCTTTTTGTTGTTGCTATTTTGTGGCTGTGGCTCTGTGGGTAATTAAAATATATTAATAATTAAACGTGCTGCGCAGGCCGATTTGCATAACGATTTTAGTGGCTCGGCCAATTAACAGCAACAACAACAACAAGCAGAGGGAAAAAAGCCGCTAAAGAAAAAATTTTGACACTTGTTGGCGCCAGTTGCAGCTGAAGAAGATCCAACGAAAAGGCTTAGCTAAAAAACACTTGGCAACAGTTACTGTTTCGTTTAGCTACTTTTTTAGCCTTTACCAGCCGAGTTCTTTTAGCTTTTATTTTGGCTTACGCTGGAAAATGGCTAAATCAAACTTTCTATTGGGGTGTATTAGATTTTTTTTTTTGTTAGCTGATCAAAATTGTATTTGCTGCCATTAGCCGCTTTTGGCATTTCTTTTTAGCGCTTTTCCCGCTACTTTGTGCATTTGATGATTGAAAACGTTTGCCGGAAGCGCCGCCAATGCTGGCGCCAGCCACATTTGCCTCCGCTAGGCGACACCATTTGCCCCGGCCACGCCCCCTCGCCCACAATCCTGGCACCCGGGCTATATATAGGCTATAGACAAAGCGCTCAGGCATTGACTAATTTCAAATATGGGCAAATGCAATTAGCTGGCGCCACAAGTCCCGCAGCCAAATCGGCAGAGCCAAAATACCTATCTCTCTCTATATGCCTCTATATATATACATATGGATAAATATATAATATATTAATAGCATATATAGAATCTATTTGCCATATTTATAGGCTATAAACTTTTTATAGCAAATTGCATTTTCATAATTTTTCCATTTCTCACGCTTTTACGTTTCTCGTTTCAGTCACGGAATGCCAGTTCGGCAAGGTTCTACGCGAATTGGGCTCCACCTGGTATGCGGATCTGGGACCACCATTTGGCGTCATGTATTGCATCAAATGTGAATGCGTTTCGGTAAGTACAATCAAATTGTAATCAAAAACTATTCAAATTAAATCCAAATAACGTTTGAGTCATAATTAAATAAGAAGAACTAAAGAAGTAGGAAGAACAGTCTATAGAGAATACAAAGAATCCAGTAGCTTTAAGCTTGACTTTAAAATATAGGAAAGCTTTAGTGCGACAGGACAAAGGAATTCAAGCAGCTTTAAGCTTTAAAGTTCCTGCCAATTAAGCAGCTTTCAGCTCAGTAAACCTATACAGAGGATCTTTATCAGTAGCCGTTCACAATTAAGTGAGCTTTCAGCTGCTTTGCAGCTTTTATTTATCTGTTTTCTCTTCAACATTATCTCTCTAATTAAGATTCGTCTTTCAATTAGTGCAAAATGCAATAGAAGAATGCTGTAGATAAAGATAATGTGGTTTTTCTTTTGCTCTGTATTTTGGGGCCATGTGGCCAAACAAATTGAGGCAAGTCAGCTATAGGCGGCCAACTAATTGACTAATGAGCGTCGACATTTGCTACAAGCAACAACAAACAAACAACAACAAAGTTTGCCAAAAAAAAAAAATAATTATATATATACATATATATAAAAATAATAGAAAAGATAGAAAAATGAAAAAAGATAAAGAAAAATGTATTCTGACTTGGGTTAGACTTGGGTAGTTGTAGTCGCATGCAGCATAATTTATGGGATTTGAACGCATGATTAATATTGATTTGAAAGTCGGTACAAGCAGCGCAATATATACGCATATATTATATAAATATGTATAAATAAATATATAGGTGTATATCCTATATATACCCCTCTCTCTGAGGCGTTGCCAAAACTTGAAGCTAAGCAGAGCACGAAAGAAGCAAAAACAACAAATTTCACATTGCGTTCGTTTTGTTCTTTCGATGTTGTTGATTGAATTACGCAAAAAGAATTTTTGCATCGAACGAAATGCAAAACACAAACGGAGGCGTACACTAACTGGGGGCGTGACGCTAGAGAGGGGGGTGGGTGCAGTAGAGACATCGGCAGAAGCTGAGGTTGGAGTAGAGTTTTGCTTTTAAGCTGCTCTGGCCCAGGCGACACATTAAAAACACAATCGTTCCGCTGATTGTTCGCTGATTTTATTATATAAAGATTATATGAACAAATGTATAAATATATGCATATATCAATGAAGATTTTATGTGCATATTTATATTCATATATTCCAAAGAAATCACCTGAATCTAAGCTTCTTTGATTTCTTCAGCTTCAGCTCTATTAAAGCTAAACTCCTTCCAGGCTTCATTCTTTAGCAGGCGTACTACGGCTCTAACATGAACTAGTTAAGTGTCAAGAGAACTAGTTCAAAATGTATAGATTTTTCACTTGCCTCTTCAATTTGTAATTCCCTAAAGCAAAATTTCTAGCTTTGATCCTTCCATGAACTAGTTCATTTTTGTATTCCCTGCCAAGCTCCCCAGCCGTAATGCTTGAGTGAGCTAACTCCAAACGGAATCAACTAGTTCGCAGACCAAGCAAAACTTCTCTCTTGCCTCTTATTGGCTAATTGCAAACATCTCACCTGCTTAGCCCTCACTCCCAGACAGACTAGATAAGGAGGTCGCGGGGCCTTATCTGTTCCCTTTTCCCCAAGTAATTGAAATTTTTTATGGAGCCGTATTTTTTGTCGTGTTTTTGGTGCTGTTCATCGTCTTTTAGTGAACTGTGTGTATTAATTAATTATAATTTATGTGGCTGCAAGCGTTATAAACGAGCCAGATCATAAAATAATTCCTACTGACTGCTTCTGTAAGAACTCTGGGATGGCGTCCATTAAAAGCAACAACGTTGTGTCTCGTCCCCATAAAAATCAACAAGAAATTCATATAAACATCAAAAGATGACAAAAAAAAAAAAAAAAAAAAAAAATGAAATGACAAAAAAAAAATCTCTCATCAGATTCGCGCAGATCAAAAATGAATTAATAAAAAGTCGGGGACAACAAAATGGAAAAAAATAAACATGGGAATTATAAATATATTCAGATATTTATATTAAGAAAATCGCAGCTTGATTTAGTTCTAATTTTAAGGCAAGCGACGCGACAGTGCGAAAGAGATGGCAATGCAGCATGATGCAATGCCAGGGAAGACTAAACAAATACCCTGTATAGCAGGTATCTATGGAAGTATCTCTCTTTGGTAACTCTCAATTGAGTTAAGAGTTGAGAACACAGTGAAGGTCTCTAGCTGCTCGAGCAGCTGAGTTCCTTCAGTTAGCTGGGGATAGGGCATCTATTTTATATAGCTAAAAATTGTTATGCTCGCTCAGCTTAGTCACACATCACAATGCTCGTCAATTACAGGGTATTTGATAAGGAGATAGCCAGAGAGAGACTGATGAAAATTAAAATGAAAAACAATCATAATAAAGAAGAGACAAGCGACTTTGAGTCAGTTTTCAGCTATGCGAATGGCAGCGCTAATTAATTTTGTGGCTACAAAAATTATATAAAAAGTAAATAAAAAAATAAATAAAATACACAATAATGGCACAAACCAGACAGAAGTGACACATTGCCCATCCACTCAGCATAACTAATGAGCTACAATCAGAGAGCGAGTGCGAAACGAGACAGAAAATCAAAACACAAACAAACAAATGCATAGAATTTATTTAGTATTCTCCAGGAGAGAATTAACATTAGAGGAGTATGTGGGAGTCAGAGAGAGAGAGAGAGAGAGGGAGGGCGAGAGGAAGGGAAGAAGAGCTCCTCAGGATGCAAAAGTTTTATAATCCAACACATATTACTTTACTATCTTCCTTATAGCTACAGTATTTGCTTATGTATTCATAGAAGACTTTTGACTTTCAAAAAGTTTCATCCAAGTCTATATATTATAATCTAAATTTTCCTTTGGGTTATTTTAATATGTTTCTGAACTGCCCTTTTGTAAGATTTCATAAGATTGTATAACAAATTACTTAATGCTATCAAAAGTATTCTCTATAAATAAAAATGCATTACCATCTACAGATATACAGATAGATAGATATAACTGCAATATTCTGTATTGATCTTCACTATAGATATTGATGTTTTTCATTATGCTCCTGATCATCCATCAATTATAATCCCCAATCTCTCGATTTTCACATTTCAGATACCCAAGAAGCGTCGCATTGTTGCACGCGTTCAGTGTCGCAATATCAAGAACGAATGCCCGCCGGCTAAATGCGATGATCCCATCTCATTGCCTGGCAAATGCTGCAAGACCTGTCCAGGCGATCGTAACGGTAAGTTGTACATAAAGCTTTTCATAGATATCATATCATCTAGATGGCATAAAAGCCAAACTATGCGTAACTCAAACAAACTCATGCCAAGCAAATGAGTCATAGAGCGCAGGGAGCGCTTCTGCAAACACTATACACAGAGTGAGAGGGAGAGAGAGCTATAAAGATCTATATATATCGTTATATATATGTCTATCTATAAATCTGCAAAATATCTCAATATTTTGACACATGCAATTGTTTGTTACGCATAATAAAAAAGCGAAAAGACATCGAGATGAATATTGAATAGGATTATGTGTTGTCTCTGAGACATATAAAATGCTGACTATACACAAATATATATGGGTATATATAGCTCATCTATAGATCATATATCTATGAATAATTAAGCGTAGCAGCAAACGCAGCTGTACAACACTTTTCAACGCGACGTAGACCATAAAAACGAGCGAAGAAGAAAAAAAAAAAAAAGAGCCAAATACTATATAGACCAATATAATATAATATAATATATAGATATATTTATACATACATATATATATACAGACAGACAGATACATGGACATAGACATATGTAGTGGAATAGTTCGAAACGCGTAAATTGTTTATGAAAAATTACTTGGCCCGAATTGAAGGTCAGCGCTACGCAATTTATAATTCTTTTTTATGCCATTTGGTTCGCTCTGTTGTCGCCCCAATATCGCATACTATATATAATATGTATATACATATAGTCTTATATACAACATCATATTCCAATCTATACTTAGTACACACACACACCAACACGCACATGATGTATGTTATATCCATTTTTTTTTTTTTTTTTTTTTTTTTGACCATCTCTGCATTTATTTATTGTTGCTTTCGACTTTTGCATGTTGTTCGATGTTCTTCAATGTTTTTTCTTGTTTGTTTTTTTTTTTTTCACAATTTATTTTATATTAGCCTCCACTTGTGTAGAGAGCGGGCTGGGGGTGTATATCATGCGACAAGACCATGGGGAATATATGGCTATGAACATTTTTGCCATGTCTCATTATGGGGGAAGGAGGCGGCGGCGTGAGGGGCTGGAGAGGGGTTGGGGCATAGCTGGAAATTGGGCTACTTTTCACATTTTTTTTTTTTTTTTTTTTTGGTATTATTGTTGTTGAGGGGTCTGAGTATTCGCTGGGGACACACACGTGCCACATTAAACCGAACGGATTCCAATGATGCCTGATCATTCAAGCCAACAACATATTAAAGGAGAAAGAGAGAGAGAGAGCGATAGAGGCAGACGCATAGCTAAAGTCTGAAATAAGCAGCTCAATAGATTTGATCATGCGTTTAGCTTGTTTGACAAAATTAAAATTGGGGGCAGATAGCGAAAAGCCTACAGTAAACTCAAGTAAAGGCTCAAGCTGCAACGATCTGGCAACACTGTCTTCATATCTAGCAACCTTTGATATGTCTAGTCAAATAGCGAAAGAAAAGCCAAGCTACTGAATGCAGTAGCTCAATTTCATATATCATATCCAAAGCTTTTAACCAGGTGGCAACATTGTCTGTATAATATATAAAACTACAGCCTAACACAGTGGCAACGCCGCAGACTATCACTTACATAACTTATTTCTTCCCTTCTCTTCCGGGAATCCTTGAAGTTGCTCTTGCAGCTATCTGGCAACGCTGTCGGAACTTGACTTCCAAATGATGAAGAATTTGTTTTGCCTCTTTGGAGTTTTTTTTTTTTTGCCAACTCCCAAGTGGCCTTAAAGCTTAAGCATGCTTATGGGCATGCAGCACACACACATACACACACACATACACATGCATACTCCTACACACACGCACAACACACAACAAACAGCGACTGAATCAGAAGGCATTTCTTTGGCTTTTGCTAATTTTCTGCATGAATTGAATTCATAATTAGAAAAAACTTATGAGGAAAGTTGCGCTGTGTGCGAGAGTATGAGTGTATGTGTGTGTGTGTGTGTGACATTTTTCACATAATCAAGCCAAGTGCTGTGGCTGAATTCCAGTCGCAAGTCTCCCAGTTGCTGCCGCTGTGTGGCATGGAAACTGGTTGCAACTGTTGCTGTTGTTGTTGTTGCTGCTGCTGCTGCTGCTAGTTGCTGCAAGTTGCTGCTGCCAGTTGCTGCAGCACATCATTAGTTTCCGTTTTGCGGCAATTTTTCATTTGCTTATGCAAAGCCGTTGACCTTTGGCGCGTTGCCTCGGTTGACGAGAAAGATTTCACTTTTATATGCCGGAGCGGCAAAGCAGACAGAGGGAGAGAGATGGCTAGATGGCTCGATGGCTAGGCAGCAGGGCGGGAGGGCGGTAGGGCGGTAGGGCGAGAGGGCGAGAGTGGGCTGCTAGGCAAACGGGGGGCGTGGCTGAGGTTATGCTGCACAGAGTTGGCTTAAATTGCTGCCACGTCAAATTGCAACAGAAACTGTTGCTGCTGCCGCTGCTGCTGCTGCTGCTGTTGCTGCCTGTTTGGCTACGTTGGCAACTCGTTTGCCATAAATAGTTAGAAGGCACGGGCGCGGCCCCAACTTGGCTCGCTGCTTGCCACATGCTGCATGAACCACCCCTCCCCCACACACACACCCCTGCCCCAAGCAGGCAACGCTCACGCAGCTATTGTAAAAATATTTAACAACAACAACTTGCAACAGCAGCCGCAGCAGCAGCGGCAGCAGCAGCAGGCTTTGCTTTTGATTTACCAAAGTTATTTTATATATATATATATATATATATATATATATATATTTTTTTTTTTTTTTTTTTTGTTCGCCTAACTTGGTCTAGCCCGCTTTTGTCCAGGTATATATACGAGTGTGTGTGTATGTGTGTGCTTATATGTATAGCAGCTGCTTTGGCCAAGTTTAGTTGCAGTTGCGCTGCATCTGCCACAAAATGCTGTTGCCCATTTTTGGTCGCCGTTGCCCGCAGGCCTCAAATAGAGCCTGAGCCAAGCCCGACGCTTGATCGTTTCACTGCTGCTGCTGCTGCTGCTGCTGCTGCTGCTGCTGCTGCTGCTGCTGCTGTTGCTTCTACTTCTTATTCTTCCACTTCTTCGTCTTCATCAGCGTCGTTGCCTTTGTCATTTTCTCTGGCGCATTCCAGGCGCATTAATTTATGCATTTTTTCGTTATTTTTATAATGACATAACTCGAGCATTTTAACGCTTATTAAATTATCTCATTTGCCACAGCGGGCGATCGTGTTGCCAGCCGACAGCAGGCGATCGAGAGTGACAAAGAGATAGAGAGGGAGAGAGCGCGCGTCATGTCCATGTCCATGTTATGGTCACATTTAACCAGGTAGACACAATAAAAGTTAATGTCGAATGCCTTTTTCAACGTCAATCGTTGCTTTTCGAGATCGTTTCGATCGATCGTTTGGCATCGAACTCGGCGATAAGGCCAACTGCCACAACTGTCCACATCTTCAAAACTCCAGCTCCTCTCTCACTCTCTCTCTCTCTCTCCATCTCTCTCTCTCCCTCTGTTGCCATCTCTTTCGCTTCGCAGTGCCCATTAGTAGCTGACAATTTAAGTTGATGACATCTTTTGTGGTTGCGCGTTTCCTTTTTTAGTGCATTTTATGGCTAAACCCGAAACGAACCCAAAATCGATCCCGACTCCAACTTTGTAGTCAGGACACACACACATACACGATATTGATCTCTCCATGTGTGTGTATGTGTGTGCCGGGGCTAATAAAATTTTCAACTTTATCTTTATCGCAAAACGGCATCGGAAAAAAAAACGGAACTGTCTATTAAAAATAATAAAAAAGAGACGCTGCTGCACGAGATCCCATTTAGATTGTTTATCCACTGCCAGGGAGATACGTGTGTGCGTGTGTGTGTGAGTGAATGAACTGTGCGACATTTGGGTTAAACAGGATCACACAATTTATTGTCCAGGCGCTTGCCTCCTGAATGCCTCTTCTATGCAGCTTTCTTAAAGCACAAAAGCTCTCTCTCCCTCTCTCACTCTCTATGAATAAGGCTTTGTCTAAGAAAGCTTCCTTATTATTTATTTAGCATTGCAAATCTAGTCTTGTCTTTCCATACTGAAAGTTCATTTTCCGAGCTTTTGCTTCTAGTCCTTGTAAACTTTCTGATCTCTTAAGGGAAAATGAGCTTTGACTACGATACAAGCTCCGTTCTCTCTCTCTCTCTTAACGCCGTCTCCCTTACTTTACCTCTCTCTCTCTCTCTCTCTCTCTCTCTCACTTCATCTCTCTCTCTCTCTCTTTATCTTTCTCTCTCTGTCTCTCTTTCACTTCATCTCTCTCTCTCTCTCTTTATCTCTCTCTCCCTCCAGTCAAAGGTCACAAGTCCTTTGCCTTCGCTTAAATGTTCACTCAGTTCCGTCTCCCTCCCTCTGCATCTCTCTCTCTCTCTCTCTCGCTCTCACTGTCTTTCTCTCTCTCTGTATCAACCACAATAACAAATCGTCAAAGCTCTTGAGCCACACACAACGTTTGAAATTCTATGGAAGCAAGTAAACCACAGTCGCAACCACAGCCGCAGCCGCAGCCGCAGCCCCAACCACAACAGTTGCCATCCAATCCAATCCAATCCAATCAGCAATCAGTTAGGCTCTGCCGTCTGTGTAGCTGGTTGTGAGATCTACATAAGTAAATGCCCGTCCATTCAGCTAGATCATTTGAAAAAACACTTTCAAAACTGTTTTATTATTGGTTCTGTTTTTTTTTTTTTTTTTCATTTGGTTAATGAGCCACTGGGGGCGGGGGTAAGCAGGGAAGGGAGGAGGGGGGGGACCGACCGGCTCACAGCATACCAAAGCGTTGACTCAATGGCCGAAGGTGTCGTTTGTCTTAGCCCTGTGGCTTTGTCGGCTTCGGCTTGACTCCTCAGCTCCCCGCCGTCAGCGTCTGCGTCAGCGTCAGCCTCAGCGTCGCACGTTCGTTCTGTTCCCACTGTCATGATGGGCAACGTGTCGTCGTCTTTGTGCGCACCAAAACTCATTTATCTTGGCTTACAAAAACGGCCAAGCAGCGGCAGCAAGACCCAAATAACAACAACAACAACAACAACAACAGCATTGAAAGCCACACACGGCATAAAAATGAAACGAAACGAAATTCATTCATCTGCAATGGGAAGCAAGCGCGAGTCAAGGGCAGGCGAGAGCGAGAGGGCGAGAGGACGAGAAGGGGGGGTGGGGAGAGGGAGGGCGAAGGCGAATTCAGCAGGAATTGCCTGGCGAATGGCAGGATCTGCTGGCTCGGCTCTGCCAATAAGCTAAAGAATGCGATGCAGACGACGCGTCAAATTGAAAAAAGAAGAAGAAGAAGAAGAAGAGGCAGCAGAGCAGCGAAGAGCACAAGACAAAGAGAGTGGGCAGAGGGCAGCGGGCAGCGGGCAGCGGGCAGTGGACGGCGGACAGCTTGGAGGGCAGAGTTGGGCTTCGGCTTCGGTCAGAAGTGGCTCGTATTAAGATCAGGCGATAAGATCGGACAGCCAAACGACGACATTGGAAGGCAGCAGCAGCACACACACACACACACACACACATGCAGATATACGGCGCGCAACCGCAGCATGCTCTTGGCCTGCCTGGCCTAACCCCCTCGCAGCCCCTCCCCCTCCCCCACGCCACTGCGGCCTCGGCTCAATAAAATGCTATACAAGGTGTCAGATTTGTCGCCCTTCATTATGCGGCAAGAAGAAGCTGAAGTGTGTGTGTGTGTGTGTGTGTCTGCCTCTGTGTGTGTGTATTTTTTCAATGTCTCTGCATCTTTGCTTTTTTGCGGCTTAAGCGCTGCGCCTGTGTGCGTGAAATGGAATTCCGATGCAGCTACAGCTTCGACTTCAGCTTCAGCCTTAGCCTTTTTTTTAGCCGTTTTTATTTTATTTTTGTTTTTTGTTCTGCTTTTAATCAGCTTTGCAGCAGCGGCTTCTAACGAAGCTGCTGTCAATCAAGCAAACTCTCTGCATGTGTGTGTGTGTGTGTGTGTGTGTGTGTGTGTGTGCTGTCACATCCCAGATATGTCCACCTACTTTCACGCCGCATTTGCCTGGCACTCGCTGTGTGAATTTCTAGGAATTCCTTTCGACTAGTTTTCTGTTTTGGTTCTACCTGCTCAATTTATGCACGATTAATGAATGCCACCTGGGCAGACCAACGGATCCGCTCTACCTGTGTGTATGTGCATGCGTGTGTGTGTGTGTGTGTGTGCGTGTGTGCTTGTGTATTTCTTTTCTTTTATTCAGATTCATTCATACATTGCATTCATTGCGGGACCCTTTGATGCTATTTGTTGCTATCTAAATTCCATTTAAGTAGACCATTTTGGCTAACCTTCTTCTTCTTATTGTCTTACAGATACGGATGCTGCTTCGGATGTGCCAGTGCCCAGCGAGGAAGAGGAGCGCAACATGAAACGTAAGTGAAAATCTATAGAAATCTATGCAACTATCTGAGCATAAAGATAACGATAACGAGCTATTCATTATGAAGATGAAATCATAGAAACAAAAGTTAAATCCCTGTTTCTTAAAGTACACTCATATATTAGCCCTTATAATAAGATATAGTTGGTCGATCCATCTGATTTGGATATATGTTCAGTCTGGATGAAATCATAGAAACAAAAGTTAAATCTCTCTCTTAAAGTACACTCATATATTAGCCATTATAATAAGATATAGTTGGCCGATCTAACTGATTCCAATATATGTTCAGTCTGTGGCCTTCAGCAGCAGCTGTACAAATTTTCAGGCCGCTGGCCATGGAGAGTGTCGAGTTACCATAGAACAGTAGGTGTCATAGCCGCACAGCAGGTGACTGCCGACTTCCATGTAACTCTGGAAGGTGCTAGTTGTGCACACTCACAGTCACACTCACGCTCACTAATTCATTCATTCATACGCTCATTCATTCCATTTAGTGTTTCCCATTCACAATAGTCATTGCTTCCCTTTTCAATTCACAGATTACGCTGCGCTGCTAACGGGTCGCACATCGTACTTCCTGAAGGGCGAGGAAATGAAGTCCATGTACACGACATACAATCCACAGAATATCGTGGCCACCGCTCGTTTCCTGTTCCACAAGAAGAATCTGTATTATTCATTCTATACATCGACGAAAATCGGTCGACCACGTGCCATACAATTCGTCGACGATCGCGGCGATATACTCGAGGAGCATCAGCTGGAGACGACCCTCAGCGGCACCCTGAGCGTCTATCAGAATGCCACCGGCAAGATCTGCGGCGTCTGGCGGCGAGTCCCGCGCGACTACAAGCGCATCCTGCGCGACGATCGCCTTCACGTGGTGCTGCTCTGGGGCAACAAGCATCAGGCCGAGCTGGCCCTGGCCGGCAAGATAGCCAAGTACACGGCATTGCAGACGGAACTGTTCAGCTCCCTGCTGGAACCGGCGGCGACCAACGGCAAAACGGATCCCCAACTGGCCGGAGCCGGCGGCACGGCCATTGTCTCGACGAGCAGCGGTGCGGCTAGCTCGATGCACTTGACCTTGGTCTACAATGGTATCTTTGGCGTGGAGGAATATGCCGATGCCGGGCTGAGTGTTCGCATCGAGCTGCCGGAGCGCAAGGAACTGATCCTGGACGAGGTGTCGCGTGTGCGCAAGCCATCGGCCGAGATCAATGTGCTGGAGCTGTCCTCGCCCATTTCCATACAGAATCTGCGCCTGATGTCGCGCGGCAAACTTCTGCTGACCGTGGAGTCCAAGAAGTATCCGCAGCTGAGGATCCAGGGACACATTGTGACGCGTGCCAGCTGCGAGATCTTCCAGACGCTGCTGGCGCCGTCGCACGGCAACGAGCTGAGCACACGGAGCAGCGGCCTGGCCTGGGTCTATCTGAACACGGACGGCTCGCTGGCCTATAACATTGAGACGGATCACGTGAACACCCGGGATCGTCCGAACATTAGCCTGATCGAGGAACAGGGCAATCGCAAGGCCAAGCTCGAGGATCTGACGCCCAGCTTCAATTTCAATCAGGCCATCGGCAGCGTCGAAAAGCTCGGACCCAAAGTCCTGGAGTCTCTCTACGCCGGCGAGCTGGGCGTGAATGTGGCGACGGATCATGAGGCGAGTCTGATACGCGGCCGCCTCGTGCCACGGCCCGTAGCCGATGCCCGCGACTCCGCCGAGCCCATTCTACTCAAGGCGCACGTGGAGCATGGCCAGAACCAGGGCCAGGGCATGGGCATGGCCTGGATGGCGATCGACAACGAATGCAATCTCCATTACGAACTGACGCTGAGCGGCGTGCCGAACCAAGAGCTGCAGCTGTACCTGGAGGAGAAGCCGATCGAGGCCATCGGAGCGCCCGTGACCCGGAAGCTGCTCAAAGAGTTCACGGGCAACTACATGGAGGGCTTCCAGCTGTCGATGCCCTCCGCGGAGCTGATCAAGCTGGAGACGAGCGTTTGCTACCTGGAGCTGCACTCGAAGGTGAATCCGCGCCTGCTGCTGCGCGGCAAGTTGAAGTCGACCAAGGTGCCAGCGCACTGCTTTCCCATCTACACGGACAACAATGTGCCGGTGCCGGGCGATCAGAATGGCAATCAGATGCTGAGCACCGAGAGCAACTGCTACCATTCGGGCCGCTTCTACAACGAGTCGGAGCAGTGGCGCAGCGCCCAGGACACCTGCCACATGTGCGCCTGCCAGCGCGGCCAGGCCAACTGTGAGCTGATCAAGTGCCCGGCCCTGAAGTGCAAGGCGGGCGAGCAGCTGCTGCAGCGCGAGGGCGAGTGCTGCCCCAGCTGCGTGGCCAAGCCGGCCGACTGGGCCCAGGCCCAGGGCCAGCTGAGCAGCTCGCCGGCGATCAATGCCAGTGATCTGCTGCAGCAGCGCCGCGGCTGCCGACTGGGCGAGCAGTTCCATGCCGCCGGCGCCAGCTGGCATCCGTTTTTGCCGCCGAACGGCTTTGACACCTGCACCACCTGCAGCTGCGACGCCCAGACTCTGGAGGTGCGCTGCCCCCGCATGGTCTGCCCGCCGCTGCAGTGCAGCGAAAAGCTGGCCTACCGCCCCGACAAGAAGGCCTGCTGCAAGGTGTGCCCGGAGGGCAAGCAGAGCAACCACGGCGCCAGCAGCAAGCACCAAGCGCCGGCCAATCACAACGAGCTGCACGATCAGGCCGTCCAGCGTACGGCCGCCCACAATGCCGAGGAGGTGCTCGCCGCCGGCGGCTGCAAGGTGGTCAACAAGGTATACGAAAACGGACAGGAATGGCATCCCATCCTCATGTCGCACGGCGAGCAGAAGTGCATCAAGTGCCGCTGCAAGGTAAGTCCGATCGCAATCGCACGACTCCATTCAAGCAATGTAACTAATACAACATATATGCTCTTCTCATTTGCAGGACTCGAAGGTGAACTGCGATCGCAAGCGCTGCTCCCGCTCCACCTGCCAGCAGACGCGCGTCTCCAGCAAGCGACGTCTCTTCGACAAGCAGACGGGCGTGGCCGAGCTGGTGGGTGGCGTTGCCCAGCCCATTGACGAATGCTGTTCGACGCAATGCCGACGCTCGAGGCGACACCACAAGAGGCAGCCGCACCATCAGCAGCGCGCCACAAGCTGAGCGAGCGAGCAAGCGAGACAGAGGAACAGAATTACAGAAAGAGAGAGCGAGAGAGAGAGAGAGAGAGAGCGAGCATCATGTAAACTTGTATTATAGATAGACAGAAAGAGAGGCCAAGCGCAAGAGCAAGCGAACACAGCGAGAAAGAGACGGCAAACATATATATTTATATATATATTTATATATACAAACACACACACACACATACATACATATATACATACATATATATTCATATATATATGCATAACCAGTGCAGTTAGAGTTGCTTTAAAAATTCTCTACGATTTAGAGTTTAGCTCGAAAGCATTTTTTCACAATTTCGTTTGAAATTTTTCAAAAAAAATTCACATGAAAAATACAAAACAAAAACAAAAAACTGTGCTGTGTAACATTCAAAAAGGAAACTAAGAAAAAAAAAAAAAACATAATATAATGAAAACAACCCTGCTTCTTCTTCATCAAACAAAATTCATTTCAATTGATTTAAATTAAATATTTAAATTCCAATTTGAAAGCGATACATACACACACACACACACACACATATATATATATATATATATATATATATATATATATATATATATATATATATTATATCTTCTTTTTTTTTTTGAGAATAATATTTTATGAGAAACAAAACGCAGTGGGAAACGGTTTTAATTTTGGCGCGTTTTTCGCTATCGATTTGTTATCGATCAACGATACCATTTTGCCGCGACCAAACCAAAAGTACGACTGATTGACTGAATGGCAAAACAAAATAAAATATAAAAAATATATATAAAAAATGAAAATATTTAGCCTGTAAGCAAACATAATTTTTTTTTTTTTAATGAAAAAAAAAATTGAAAATGAAATATTTTCAATGTGAAATTATTTTGTACTAATTGTTACTTACTCACACACACATAAATACATATAAAAATTATTATTTGAATATATAAATTTTTTATATATTTATTGTATTGCGTTGAACATGAAAACATTGAGCAAAAACAAAAAACAAAAAAAACACAAAATTATTTCAAAAAATTTTTATGTACAAAAAAATTTGCGAAATTTCGAAAATAAAAAGAAAGAAATGCCATGTACCCATATTTATATATATACACACACACACAAATGAAAATGAAAAAGAAAATGAAATTGTATTAATTTTTTATTAAATTTTATTCTATTAAATTATTTCTTATTATTATAATTTTATGTTTATTTTTTTTTTCATAGCATATAAATATAAATACATAAAAAATACATACATACACATGCATACATTTATATTTAAAGATAAATATATGTATATATACATAAGTATATATATTGATATTGATGATTTAATTGCGAAATACTAAACAAAAAAGAAAGCAACAAAAAATACAAAGCATATTTTACTAATAATACTTAAATTTAATGTTTAAAAATTAAAAACAAAATACAAACAAACTCCCCCCACCCCACACACAAAAAACATCAAACACAATAAATAATAAACAACAAATATAATACAACAACATATTTTTTATTTATATATATTTTTAATTTTGTAGTATTTAAAAACATGTTTTTTTTTCAAGCAAAAAAATGTTAAAATAAAAAATAAAATATATATATATATATATATATATATATATATATATATATATATATATATATATATATATATATATATATAATAAATATATAAATATAAATATATATTTAATAACAAAATATTTCGATTGCGTTTTTATTGAATCAAAAACTTTTACAGGAAATACCCCAAAGTCTACGAAGCATTTCAAGCCCTCTTAGATTCAATGCGGAACTTGAATCACTTAAGAAGCAAGATTCATTGGATTCGCAGAATGAGTTCGCATATCTTACAATTCATATGCTACTACTCAGACATATAATGATTAATTTGGTACTCGTAATACCCGTAATGAATCCCTCGCATACTCAAAATATATTTTCAGAAGCTTATCAATCCTTCATACAATGCTCGATAGAGTTCATAGTATAATCATTACAATTCATCCATTCATGAACTTAAAACTTCTATGCGTATACTGTCATTGAATCATCGTATGCACGAAATGATTCATTGGAAGCATCATCGGATACTCATGATAGCATTCACTCCAAATAGAGCAACATTTCTTTTAAATTGACTTTTGCCTTTTACCAAGATGTGCCCGATATAACATTTATATAGTTGGATCCGCCGGATCTATTAAGAGCCCAATGTTGGCAGTTGTCAATAAAAGTTGATTGAAACTGAACTCTTTTTTGGCAAGAGCTCAAATGAAACACTTCTGAAATGATCGTATCGTATGTGAGTTCTTAAACGAAACAAAGCTAAGTATTGTATTTCGGTAGCAAGTCTTTTACTGTTCGGTCATTAAATGGTTCTAATAAGGCAAGATCATTATTAAGATACTTTTGAAGCTTGACTCTGCGAAGCAGGTTTGGCTTCACGTAAAGTAGCTCCTAGATCATGTGGCGCAAAAGTCGTTCTGTAAGCTCAGCTGTAAGTTTTTTGAAGGCGATGCGGCTTAAGGCATGGAACAAGTCTGTGAACCTTTTTGCCTTTTGCTCTTTGGGTAAAGATTCGGTTCGTGAGCCTAAATTTGGCATCATATATATCGAGATCGTATCTATAGACTTGTTACACAAGACAATTTTGAGTTCTGCATTTGAATCGATTCAGCTTCAGATTGATATACAACTTTATTTCTTCAAGTAAAAATTAGAAGATTAAGCAAAGTATACTTTGGGTCCGGATAATGAATTTTTATACCCATTTGTTATAGATCTAAGGTCTAGGTTGCAAGTGAGTAAAACTTTCGGAATCGAACGGGTTTGAATGATACTCGTGTTGCCTACTCAAACACTATTAAAATGTGTTTTCGAAAGGCTTTCTCGCCGAGAGTCAAATACTATTTAGCAACATCTTATATATAGTTGACTATCGGGCACTATGAGTGCTTCGCGGACTCGTGAGTGGTTTGAGTACTCTTTGCACCGATGTATGTGCACATATGTATGTATCCAGACGTCGGATGCTTGAAGACAAATATTTTTCCCGCAAATGTTTAGCAAATTTGAAGCAACAAAAACAAAGACAAATACCAGTGCGAGCGGCAGAGCTACAGCAAGTGCTATATACAGAGATACCCTGTAAAATATAAAGTACATATATATCACATCTATAAATATATTACGATTTATAACCGACTATATTTACAAATCTTCACTAAAATTATATAGCTCTTCCAATATTTCTTTCTCTTGCTCTTTAAATCTTTCTGTATCTTGCTCACTGCCTCTGTTTTGTTGTCTCCCTTTCTCTCTTTACCATTCTCCTCAATGTTTGCCTATATCTCTTTTCCAATTTCCAGCTTTCCAGCTCTTTATCTATCTTTATCTATCTCTCTCTCTCTCTCTCGCTGTATCTGCCCCGTTCCTCACACTTACAATTTCTTTCATACACTACCTTTCTCTCACTGTTTCTCTCTCCCATGTACACACTCTCCTTATTTCCTCTTTCTAAATCTCTTTCACTAAATCCCCAACTTTTTCTCGTCTCACTCTCCCCCCCAGATATGCCCATCTCTCCACCAATCACAGGGTATTCAGACTACGCTCTCAGTTACTTAGTTAGGGACCCCACATCACCATCTCCCTCCCCCCATTCTCTGGCTCGCATGAGCTTTGCCTCGCAGTTGTCGCGATTGAAAAGCAAATGAAATCGAATAATTAAATATTGGCATAGTCACACCTTGTTGACAATTATTGACAGGCTGATTGGCAAACAGCAAACAAATGAATACGTCGCCATTTGCCGCAGACCAAACGCGCGCCCGACAGGGAGAGCGATAGAGAGAGAGAGAGAGAGAGAGAGAGAGAGAGAGAGAGAGACAACGATGAAGGGGGGGGACGGGAGAGGCAGAGCGAGTGAGGTTGAGGTGCTCTGTGGTGGGTGTGGCTCACAGTTCTAGGCCAACAGCTACTGTTAGCGCACGCAAGGGCCAAAACGCGATCGCGTATCTGGCAATCACAATCGCGATCGCTAACCGAGCACCCAAATGCATTCGAAATCCAAACTTGGCACCAGGTGGCGCTTCGCGTTGGCGGCGTTTGTCGTGAAGATTGGAGATGGCATCTTTAATGGCCATATATGGAGCTATTATAAGTCAAATGTAATACATCCCGCAGCCCGCTGCCCGCTGCCCGCTGCCCGCTGCCCGCTGCCCGCACCCCTTGCCCTCTCATCGGCCACCTCAACAGCGATTTGTCATTTGCATTGCAATTGGCCAAACCTTAGCGCCCACATTTGGACAGCGTCTCTGGCTCCAGCACTAACTCGGCCTCTCTCAACTATAGATGATATCTCTTGATTTACGAGACACAAGCATATATATATATATATATATACTTGTCTATTTGTATATATAGTTATGTGCATTGCAATAACACGCTCACGACATTTAGCCGACACTCATAATCATCAATTATCTGAGCTCTGGCAATCGGCAATTGAAATTGAAATTGAAATGGAAATTGGAAATGGAAATGAATTGAAAATGCAATTTGATATTTGAATTGCGGCTAGATATGCTAAGCACTTCAGCATTCTATTCACAACAAATGCCTAAGTAATGCTCTTTATTTTTATTAATCTTAAACGTCGTTTTTCTGTCTGCGATTGCAACTGACATACAATGTGGTTGAAAGCCCGCCTGACTGACTGAATGACTGACTGGCTGTTTGATTGATCGTTATTTAGTTTTCCCCTGGATGCGAATCTTGTGCTAAAATGTTAAATATCTTCGACGCCCACTCGCGACACGATTGTTGAATGACTTCCAGTTGGGATCGCAATTGAAATGGAATTTGTAATTGAAATTGAAACAATGAAATGTTTACGTTTTGAATCTTTCCCTAAAAGGAATATAGCGTTCTCCCTCACTCTCTCTCTCTCTCTCCCCTCACTCTTACTCGGTTCATTGTTTGAATGAGTATCTCTTCTCTTTTTGCCCGGACACTCTCTCTCTCTCTCTCTCTCTCTCTCTTTCTTCCTTTTAGGCATTCATTCAATGTGAAATAGATTATATATTATAAATATTAGT